CAGACAGATGCAGACAGCTGCAGACAGATGCAGACAGCTGCAGACAGCTGCAGACAGATGCAGACAGATGCAGACAGATGCAGACAGATGCAGACAGATGCAGACAGATGCAGACAGATGCAGACAGCTGCAGACAGATGCAGACAGATGCAGACAGCTGCAGACAGATGCAGACAGATGCAGACAGATGCAGACAGCTGCAGACAGCTGCAGACAGCTGCAGACGGATACGCAGACGGATGCAGACGGATGCACACGGATGCAGACGAATGCAGACAGCTGCAGACAGATGCAGACAGCTGCAGACAGATGCAGACAGCTGCAGACAGACAGCTGCAGACAGACAGCTGCAGACAGATGCAGACAGCTGCAGACAGACAGTTGCAGACAGATACAGACAGCTGCAGACAGCTGCAGACAGTAAGACTGATTATTACACGGAGCATTTGAACATTTGTCTCAGAACAGAGCAGGGAACATTATGGAGCCTGGTTTGTGCAAACAGCACACGTTCCATTGACGGGAGTTTTTCTCACGTTGGTTGAATTGTTACTTTCATCTGCTGTAGATAAATCGTCTGTTTGTAAAATGTCTTGGCATCAAATTTGAATTTTGTGTTCACTCAGGATTCTGGTGTTCTGAGTCACGTTCCTCCAGGGCGTTTCTACTTTACTTATTTTTTTAATTACAGCTTTAAACTGCAGCAGGACGTAAAGTTTCCAGTCAACAGCCCCACGTGGCTAATTAACATGCTCGTACACACCCTGCATCACTGCACCCACACCAGTTCAACCTATATTTTGTCACGAGCTGTTTGTACTGGTGTTAATGGGCTTGTTATAATAGAAGACACTTCAGCTGAACTGGACAAGCTGTTTGCAGACCTGCAGTTAGAGGCAGCAGGGAAGCCATGCTTCCATCTCTCCACCACAGCTGCTGCTTCATCCTCCTCCTGTCTTCATGCTGACACGCTGCTCTCAGCTTCAAGTTAACTGTTAGTCTGCCACATTAGCTCTTTTTGTTTTTGTTTTTAGCTCTGTTAGAGAAACCTGCCTCCTCTGGGTCTCCTGTTACCTCTCCTAGGATGGACACCCACCTGGTGCCCAACAGCCCACTGTTTCCTCCCAGCTGCCCCGACACGCCGCCTGCCCAGGAAGACAGCTGGAGACAGACGGCTCCTCGTCGGGCTGCCTCTAACATCAAGAATCTGCCTACAGGTGTGCTGCCCTTAATTATAGACGCTGCCGATACACAAGCATCAGAGCACCCTTACTACTAAACGTTTAGCAGCTTTAAGGTTTTTTGTTTTTATCTGGGCACCAGTTTTACTTCATGAAAATGTGATCATTGTTTCCTTCAGCTTAGATTATTCCAAAGTTATGTTGAAATTGTTTGTGTGTTATCCATTAAATGTTGGCGTGCAGCGTGGTGTTTACATTGCATTCTGCCTCCACAGACGTCAGAAGGTCTCCTGAACTGGTCGGTAAAGATTTCTCCTCCCATGATGGTCTGGGTTGGAGCAGAGATGAACCAGAGCTGCCAGTGGGTTCACAGGTCCAGGCTGGGAGCTCTGACAGAGACAACTTCTCAGATGAGCTTAACAGCAAATTCCGCTCTCAGTGCCTTCACTCATCCTCATCATCTTCATCTTCATCGTATGAGATGGCCCAGGGACCAAGCTCTCCACTGATGACCATCAGAATACAACCTAAAAGCCCTCTTCTGTCCCGCTCTCCCTCCACGAACAACCCTTTTCCTAATTCTCAGCTTTTGGATGGTGAGTCCGGCAGCAGCATGACCTTACCTAAAGCACGGACTCCGCTCATCCCCAGAGACAGCATCCAGCTCGTCAAGAAGCACTTCAGCCAGCCGCAACCCAGCCTGGACCGACTCCACCACCTCAACGTCAACATAGACATCACCACGCCGTCCTCCACTTCCTCCACGCTGAAGAGCACAAGCACAACCACTTCACCTTTCTCCCAGCTCATCGAAGAGACGGACATCGATGATGGGCTCCTGGACTCTATGGATGGAATAGAAGAGGGGCCACAGTCCGGCGAGCTGGCTCAGGATGGGGTCTCCTTTGTAGGGCTTGCAGAAGAGGTGGAACAGTTGGATCCAGAAGCTCTCAAGCCTCCGACTCCTCCTTTGCATCGCTTCCCTTCATGGGTATCCGAGACACACAATTCCTGTTCTTTCTGTTGATCAATAAAATTCAGTTTTAATACGTTATTTTAAATTCTGTACAAACAGTGAGTAGTTTTTAGAGTTTAGCTGTTTGTTGTTTGAATTCTGATTCAGCATTCACATTATTTATTTTTACATCTACAAACTTCTGCATAATTTATGACACATGAGCCATTCTTACGGTGGGGCTTAAAGTTTGAGAACTCTTTATAATTTTCTATATTTCTGCATCAATTTGACCCAAAACATCATCAGATTTTCACACACGTCCTAAAAGTAGAACAAGAGAACCCAGTTAAACAAATGACACAACAATATTATACTTACTCATTTATTTATTGAGGAAAATGATCCAATATGATCAATACTACATATTTATTATTATATTTATTTCATACATCTGGGGCTGTGGTAGCTCGGTGGTCAGTGCTGTGGTCCTCCAGTCCTGAGGTTGCAGGTTCGAGTCCAGGTTGCATCCGGCATCAAACAGTTTCCAGATCTTTCATGCGAGTTGGCTTGCTGTGGCGACCCTGACGAGGGAGCAGCCGAAAGCAACTGTTTATTTATTGACGAACATGTTGTATTCAGCTGCACATGAGGGCGGCCGCGGGCCTTCACTCATCCTTTACATTCTTCCAGACTCTGTTTAGGCTTTGAAATGTAATAAACTCTGTTCCACCCTCTAACCGCTCAGGAGAACGTGTGTCTGAATCACATGTTCTCCATTGACAACGTTTAACCGTTTTGTCTGATGATTTTTCATGAAATCCCTCTGACCACAAAACAACTGTAATGCAAAACGCCGACAGTGTTGTCGGAGGAAAAGGGGGCGGAGCTCCTGCAAGTAAGGGCCGTTTCACTTGGGGACAGATTGTGATGGCTGATTGATCAGTTGCTGGCGAGCCTGCTGGATTGATTGGCAAGTGGCATCATGTTATTTGGACACAGGCTCCGCCCCTGTTGAACAATGGGCAGGTTCTCTTCACAAAGATGGCCTCCTTTACTCCTCTCTCAAACCATCGTTCCTCTTTATCAAGGATGTGAACATCTTCATCCCTGAAAGAGTGACCTCTGACCTGGAGATGAGTGTAGACCTCAGAGTCCTGGTCTGGTGATGTTGATCTTCTGTGCTGGTCCATCCTTTTGGCCAGTGGCTGTTTAGCTTCCCAGAAACAAAACAAAAAGATTTCTTCACTCCTCAGACTGAAGAAGACTTTTTGGCTAAAAGACCATCCATCCATCCATTTTCTTCCACTTATCCGGGGTCGGGGTGGGGTAGCAGCCTAAGTAGGGAGGCCCAGACTTCCCTCTCCCCAGCCACTTGGTCCAGCTCCTCCGGGGGAATCCCAAGGCGTTCCTAGGCCAGCTAAGAAATAAAGTCCTCCCTCCCCTGGGTCTCCTCCTGGTGGGACGTGTCTGGAGCACCTCACCAGGGAGGCGTCCAGGAGGCATCCTAACCATAGATGAGGGTAGGAACGTAGATCGATGAGTAAATTGAGAACTTCGCCTTTTGACTGAGCTCTCTCTTCACCACGACAGACCGGTACAGCGCCCGCTTCACTGCAGATGCTGCACCTATCCACCTATCAATCTCTCACTCCATTTTTCCCTCATTCGTGGCTAATAGACCAAACGTTTAAACAAAAGAGAATCTGTCCAGAGGACCTGATTCAACCTTGACTTTAGCATATCTTCTTTATTTTTGTCTTCTTCTGCTGATTTTATTTTTGTAGTTTTTCTGTATCATGCTGCCATTTTTAGCTTAAAGTTAGCCTTCTGCTACTTTTATCTTTTATCTTAGCTTTTGCTACCTTTACCTAGGCTTTTGTCTCTTAGCTTTAAGACAGCTTTTTGTTACTTGTAGCTTCTAGCTAGCTGTTTGATACCATGTGATAGAGGATGACACGGGAGTGGATTTTCACTCCTGTCCTGGTCCCACAGAAAAAAAATTCTATCCTGTCCCAATCCTGGTAACATGACTCCTGCTTCCCATCCTGCTCCCATTCAGAATGACTCCCACTCCTGTACCACTCCTGTTTTGTTTTTTTCTTCTTGCATTTAGTCTTTAGGAAATACACTGAATTTGATTTAATCTTCTACCAATTCCTTTTTATATTACTTTGTGTTTAACACGCTACAAACTGGAGAATTGCAAGTCTGGTATTCCAGAGTGAAAGCTTATTGAAAGAAAACTACAAAATAGCAGTGTCTGTCCAAAGTTTATTTTATTAAACTTTATTTTTTTGTCCTACTTGTTGGTTCCCGCTCCTGTCTGGTTCTGTTAACTTTTCATCCTGTCCCATCCCAACCCTGTGAGTTATATTAAAGTTGACTCCTGTCCTGCTGGAATCCTGCCGGAATCCCGTGACCCGCAGGACTCCTGAAAAAATGTCATCCTCTACTAGCCTTTTGCTTCTTTTAGCTTTTAGTTAGTCATTACTTTAGGTTTAGTTAGCCTTTTGCTGCTTTTAACTTATCTTTAGCTTCTTTTCATAAGTCTTATGCTTCTTTCACCTAACCTTTTGCTACATTTAGCTTTTAGCTAGCATTTTTCTACCTTTTGCTTGTAGCTACAAGTTTCCTTCTTTTAGCTTTTAGCTACTGTTTTGCTCTTTTAGCTTTAACAACTCAGTTTGAGCTTTTTCAGTATATTTCACCATGTAGCACTCGGCATTCACACTTAGTGTGAGCAAAAAATGCAGTACGTCTAGTTTTCTAAAGTGTTTGTCATCTCTGTTTATTCTTACATTAAAGTGGTTCCGGACATCAGCTGAAATTTTTCTGTGTTGCTTTGCAGGAGAGTCGGATCTACGCTGTAGCTAAGTCAGGGATGAGAGTGTCTGAGGCGGGCCCTGCAGATAGGGGCCCCGGACGAGGTGAGAGTGAAGAATCATCCCCTCATTCATCACCACATGGTTCTCATAGCAGTAATTAAACGCACACAGCTTGTTGTTCTCTGTTTTACGCTTGTGTGTGTGCTCAGTCGTCTGTGTGCACGTGTGAGTTGTTGATGTGTGGGGGAACTGAGTCCTTGAACTGATGCTCGAGCTGCTGCAGGGAACAAGGTGGGCAGGGTGGCCTGTTTGGATCTGTCATTGCTCCTTTTGATGTCACTTCCTCTGGCCCGAGGCTCCACACACCTGTGCAGGTGTGTCTCTCATTTTAGGAGACTTTCTTACCAACCTCCTTTTTAAGAGCCGTTAGAAAACTGAAGGGAGGAAGAAGTAGAAAGAGTGTCTGCTTTGTCATCAGCTGAGATGAAAGAAGACGTCTGGGTGTACAGCCTGCTGTGTTCTTCAGTCACAGATGAAGCGTTAAATCAGTTTGCAGACACAGACCTGACATAGATCTGACACAGGTCTGACACAGACCTGACATAAATCTGACACAGGTC